ATTTTATGATTAATTATCTCAGGATTAAAAATATTATCGAGATAATTAATACATGCCAGAGCGTGGGATAGTAATCCCATGATAAGTTATCCCAAGATAAAACGTTAAAATTGACAATCCCATGATTAATACAACAGACCAAACAGTCAATAAAAAACAATACCAGGATAATTAATCCCAACATAACTTGTCTTCAAACCAAACGACTCTAAGAGGTTGTTTGGTTTGAAAATATGTTATGTTGGGTTAGTTATACTGGGATTAATTATACTGGAGTTAGTTATGCTGAGATTAGTTATCCAGGAATTATTTCATATTGATTGTTTGGTATGTTGTATTAATCCTGAGATTGTCAATTTACTACTTTATCTTGGGATTACTATTCCATCCTCTGGCTGATACAGATTATCCAAGTACTATTTTTAATTCGGGGATAACTTATCTAGTATTAATAACCAAACAAAGGATAAGACAGTACATTTTTTCTTATCTTAGGATTATTTTTGCTTATCCATTATACCAAATGGCTCCTAAGAAATTGTTTGGTAGAGTATATAAGAATAATACTGAATAGGGTGTATTTGTAATGCTGAGATTAATTATGCTGAGATTAGTTATTTTAAAAATTAGTATTTCTTACCGACTGTTTGGTTTGGACGTTTGATGTATTAAAAATGATATGCATTGTATAACTTTTTAAAATAATTATTTATTTATAAAAATACCCTCCACATTCTTTACAAAAATATTAGAAAGAATTTGGAAAAGATTTTGAAAGAACAAATCTATATATGAATAGTAATAATACCAAATTTGTTGTTGTTCCTAATACCTCCTACTAATGATGGTGGCCAAGGACACCAATGGTGTTAGGAACACCCCTTTTAAAAACAGAATTAATTAAATAGTGGAAATATGACAAGTTCTAATTCTCAAGATTCTAATCTTGTTTCAACTGTAGCACATGATAGCAACAAACAATAACATTACAATATTTGTATATAATAATAATATCTGTATCTATTAGATACCCATTAGCCCCTTCCCCTTGCCCCCTTTTTAAACATACCCCTCGTAGAAAATTTCTCTCTGTATGTACACACCTCACATATTCTTATTTCATATATATGCAACTGTGTGATCTTTTGGAGTTGATGTTATGCACGCATAATTGGAGAACTATAGTGAGTTGGGTATTGCTTTATTGATTTGATGTTATTGGAATTTTGATAAGACTTTCATTCTTTTTTTAGAAAGCCTATGGATGTTTAGAATTAGGAATTAGGATTGAGAGTTTTTGATGTTTGTAAGATTGAGGAATTAAAGCTGGAAAATAAGGTTTCTTGCAGTTATTGGCTTTAAGGTTTGTTTACCTTTCTCTCTTCTACTGTTTTGTTTGGTTTGTTTTTAAGCATTCATTGCATTAAATGGTGTTGGAAAGTTAATTTGATTTGTTGCTTCAAGTTTTAGCCTGATTTGGTTGACTGTCCTCTTTAACTACTTTAGTTCAAGATTCAGTCTTTATTGCCAGAAAAGTCAATAGTTTATTCTTTTCATTTATTTTCTGATTGATTAAAAGTTTGAGAAATGAAGCAGCTTAAAGTTTTTGAATAAATTGGTTTGTTTGACCTTTCATCCTTTTTTTTACAGGGCTTGAATCAAACAGTTTTCTTGCCTTTTCATGTATATCTGATGATTTGATTTAAGTTGTATGCTAAGTAAAAGATTTTTTTGAGAAGAAATTTGAGAATTTAGCTGCTTTAAATTGCTTTTGGTTGTTAATCTCCTTTGGTTGTTTCTGAGAGTTTGATGCTATTCTTTGGTCTGCTGAGTTTGAAGTCACGGAAAGATCAACTCTTTTTAATTGGCTTTAGTTGCTGGCTTTGGCCGAGGGTCTATCAAAAACAACCTTTCTATCTTTATAAGGTTCTGCGTACTCACTACCCTCCCCACACCCCATTTTGTGGGATTACACTGGGTTTTTTGTTGTTGTTGTTGTAGTAGTTGCTGGCTTTGCTTTTTGATGACTTCAAAACATGAATCTAATGTTGATCGTCGATGTTTTACATTCTTACTCGGACAAAAATTTCATTATAGATGCTATTGGAGAATCTGTATTCTTTCACATCATATATCTTACAGTTTAATGATTACTAGAGATCGCTTTTAAAATCAGTTCTACGTTTACTCGGTCTTGTACACCTCCCTGCCTGTGTGGATTTTGTCCCTATAATTTTCTGGTGCTTCTTATTTCATGCCTCTTTCTTTCTGTATGATAAGATTAGCACGTGGCGCTTGTCTAATTTATTGACAATTAATAGCTGACTTGTTTCTTACTAATGTCAGTCCAAAGACAATGAATTCAACATATACTCAATTCGTTGCCTCTAAAAGGATGGGTATATGTGACCCAATCCATCAAATTGGCATGTGGGGAGATTTCAAAAGTAGCAGTTTCCCAGATACGTCAGCGACCTTGATTCTTGAAGTCGAGAATTGTTTAGAGAATGAGATGCCTATTATGGAGAAAAGACTACACAATGAGGTGCAAATCTTTTTCTTTTTCCTTTGGACTTCTACTTTTCTCGTATTTATGCTAATTACATAATTAATATGTCTAGACAGAGGAACTTTCACATGGTACAGTTGGAACATCTAACAGATATGAACCAGAAGCACGTAAACCTATTGATAAGGTAAAAATATTTCCATATTTTGTCCGCTTTTCTTTATACCCATTTCTCAATGGGTATTTGTTATTACATTGTGCATGCAGTGCTGATTTAAATGATGGTGTTGAAGGTTGGATCGCTGTCATGTATTAAAAACCAAGCATTCATGTTGTGAGTTGTAAAGTTTGATTGATTCATATCTTTAATATCTTAGTTCCTTTTTTGTGAAAATGGAACTAAGGACATCACACATAGATAGTAAAACTTTGTCGCCGCTGTGAGTTTTTGGATTCCTGATAGCGCCGCATTCATGTATTTGAGGGGTCTTTGTCTTGTCACATATGGTCTTTACCTCTGAGCTTGGAGATATTTGGCTATTTTAAGAGCCTATATTTGCTGCTTTATAACTGACTATATGTATATCAACTGCTTAATTCCGTAGCTTCATATACAGGTGCTTAGACGCCTCGCACAAAACCGTGAAGCTGCTCGTAAAAGTCGTTTACGGAAGAAGGTATCACTTGAATTTTGCTAATTCATTACCCAGAATTTCTCAGCCACTTTTTAATGTCTTTTTAAAGAAGTCAAAATCTTATTTCTGTTTGAGACATAAATATTCCTAAATTCACATGTTGTTACTCAGGCCTATGTTCAGCAGTTGGAAAATAGTAAACTGAAGCTGCTTCAGTTGGAACAAGAACTAGAACGTACTAGACAACAGGTAAAGAGAAAATTTGCATCGACATATGAGATGTTGAATCTCTTCAGTTGATTGATATCAAAAGCATTTTTTTTTTTTACTTTTTAGGATGACAGAAATATAACAAATTAGCAAACATTTTTTGCGACAGGGTCAGTATGCAGGTGGCGGTTTAGATGAGAGTCAGATAGGTTACACCGGAACTGCAAATTCAGGTGTGTAGATTGATGCTGTCTTTTTGTTGATTGCTTAAAGAAGTTCATGCGCAGTACTATTTGCATGTGCATACCTGAGTATATGAATGACAAAAGTTGTGCTTTGGAATGATATAATAGAGTTCGTCTGGAATCGTTGCTCAGTGTATCTGAGTATCAATTATAGTAAGTAGATTGATATGTTTGAAGTGGATTTATTGATTTTGATTTCCTAAATTTTGTAAATGGACTTGTTGATTTGATTTTGCAAAGTTCTGTTCAGCAAGGATTGTAGACGAGAGCTCTATTTTGTTGTTATTGTTGAATACAATTTGAAATAAGCTTTGGTCACTATTTGCTGCTAAGCTCTCTCTTCTAACTAGTTTGATCACAATTTATCAATTACTCGCATGAAGGTAATGTATTAGATCGCTATTTAAGATGCCATAAACCAGATAAAACTAATGGAAAGGATTATTCTATTGCATCTCTAAATGTGACTTCTGAACTACGGAAACTATCATATTAAGGAGTTTTCTTTCCCAAAATATACATTCCACGAATTAAGAAATTATTTCTTCACCCCTTGGAATTACAGCTTTTTTAAAGTACACTTCCTATTGATAAACATAAAGTCTTTGGTAATTATCGGGGATTTCCTGTTGTAGTAACATTCAGTGCAACCATTCAAGTTGTCACCTTATTTCACTTTCTTTTCTTCTTTCTCTTTATTCATATTGTTATTTGAACTTTTTCCTAACTTGTCGAGTCCGCAGGAATTGCTGCTTTTGAAATGGAGTATGGCCATTGGGTGGAAGAGCAAGATAGACAAACAGATGAATTAAGGAGCGCTTTGAATTCTCAAGTTGGTGAAATTGAATTACACCTTCTTGTTGAGGGTTGCTTGAACCACTATTTTGATCTATTTCGCATGAAAGCTACGGCCGCACATGCCGATGTTCTCTTCCTTATGACTGGCACGTGGAAGACATCAGCTGAGCGATTCTTCTTATGGATTGCGGGATTTCGCCCCTCCGAGCTTCTAAAGGTGATTATTGATCTAGTATAACTTGCCACTACATCTCCTGTTCATTGATAAATCCATTTGTTGATGACTCAGCGTTCCACATGCAAGTTAATCTGGGGTCAAGCATGGCCACAAATCTTCCAATTTCACCTTATAATTCTGTTAAAACTTTGTCTGTATTGCTTAGTATGAATAATGGGTAATGTGATTTTGTTTTTGGTGTAGCCTTCGCTTAGATCCTGCGCATGTTGCAACCTGTTCAATGACTTATCTATGCTGTCTTACTCCTACATACATTTTGATTTTTCCTCTCTCGTGCTTGCTCAAGGATTCCTTGCCCAATTAGCTTCCTTTTTTATTTTTATTTTTATGATAAGTCAAAATTTTCATCAATAAACACAAGAGGGTCTCAGAAGAATGTACAAGTTGTTTATTTGATTCAACGTGAATCTAGAAGCATCTATCAAGTATGCCAATCATCAATATAACACTGTATTCTCTCTTTACACATGAAATACAAGATAAATAAGAAAATTTTACTATGTTGAGACAGTCTTCTATTTCTTCATTCCATAGCCACCAAAAGAGGCATACTTGCGATGTCTCCCGTGCTGTCCTCTTTTGACTGCCGATTTCCAGTTCGTGATTACACCCTCCACAATCCTTGGTAACACCCACGATCTGTTGAACAATGAGAATACAACAGTCCACAGCCATGAAACCTACCTGCAATTCAACAAGATATGATTAGTATTTTCTTCAGATTCCTTATAGATGCAGCACAAACTCCCAAATATTATCATTTTCTCACACAGATACTCCGCTGTTAGTATGGCATCCCCTGCTGCCCACCAAGAAAGAAGCAACTTTTTCAAAAATATATTTTGGAGTCTTATTCTCCAAATTCTACTGCACACCTCCCTCTTATTTACTCTATCTATCAGCTCCATAAATTAGATTTAACTCTAAAAGTGAAAATAATCCTGGGAGGGTCTAGATGTAGAAGTCTCAAAATTTCTTGCATATATGTGGCATGAACCAATATCTCATTGACTATCTCATTGATGTTCGATACCTGGTCAATGTCTAATGCGTTTGAGAGTTGAAGCAAATCCAACAGCAGATGTCAATATTTCTGTTTTTCTTTGGCTGTTCTTTTAGAGGTCAATTATTATGATTGATGGTGTTTGTTCTGATGTCTTCTGTGAAAAGAACTGCTTATACATGATCCTATGGTACCTACAGGTACTCACACCAAATGTGGAGCCATTGACAGAACAACAACTCCGGGAGGTTTGCAACCTCACCCAATCCTGTCAACAGGCAGAAGACGCGTTGTCACAAGGAATGGTAAAACTCCACCAGATTCTTGCTGAGGCTGTTGCAGCTGGTACACTAGGCGAAGGGATTATCCTTCCGCAGATGGCTGCTACCATTGAAAAGTTGGAAGCTCTTGTTAGATTTGTAAATCAGGTAATATGTCAACTTTTTTTGTTTTGCTTCCTTTTTAATCAGAATTCTAAACTTACAGAATGATATTTGTAATTACCTGGGAACACCCCATGTAAGTACGGATCCGCAGTATAACCGAGTGATGCAAGTTGTACAGCAAAGAAATGATTAAATAGCTTGATTTGTGCAAAATCCACGTAACCTTGATGTTTTTACAACAACAACAACAACTACAAACCCAGTGTGATCCCACAAGGGGGGTCTGTGTGTGTATGCAGGCTTACCCCTACATTGCGAAGGTAGAGAGACTGTTTCCGATAGACCCTCGCCTTAGGAAAGGCAATCACAGCATTAGTGAAAAGAAATACACAGTTGGAATGATGTTTTTAGTTCAAGAAATTGAAGTTGAGGTTTTTATGCTTTTGGCTAGGTAGAAGCCGAAAATTAGTAAGGCTAACCATTGATCTGTGAACCTTTGAAGTGTGTGAGTGCAAGTTCAACTATTTGACATGTGGTTCGCTCATGTTCATACTTGAGTCATTGCCAACTCAATCTGCTTTGCCTTTGTGATAACAGGCAGATCATCTTCGCCGAGAAACCCTTCTACAGATGTCCTGCATCCTGACTCCGCAACAATCAGCTCAGGGTCTTCTTGCCTTGGGAGAGTACTTTAAACGTCTTCGTGCTCTAAGCTCACTTTGGACCAGTCGTACTTCTGAACCAGCATAAAGAAGCAAGAAACACATAATTCAACTTTGCCAATGAAAGCTGTGCAAGCTAAAATCTGCATCTTGCTTATACCGGTAATACTATGAATTTGGATATGCAACATAATATCAGCTTGCGCCGTTTGGACACTGCTTCGCCCCTGATTGAAATCTGTATATAATTTCCGGTATGCTGTAATTGGGACTTCGAAATTTGAATTTGTCTTTTTTTCTTTTCACATTGGTTTTGATGATTGTAAATCAATATGGTCTTGAGAGGTTTTCCGAGGCTCGCTTGCCAGAGTCTCGGGATGGAACTTACTCGAAGTTGCTGTTATGGTGCCTCTCTGTATTTAATTAGTAGTAGTATCTATTATGGGAGTGTGTGATGTGGCAAGCAATTTTTGAATGCTTTGCAGATGAACAACTGCTATAAAAGAAAAAGAGCAATGATGGCATGAGCAATATTATGTTGTTACTTAATGAATTTTGTGTTGTGGAAAATTTGCATATACACGTTTACTTGTACGGATTTTCATCCAAAAAGATTGTTGGTTACTTGGACAAATGTAAATACCAAGTTCAGCTATGGCATACTCCATAATATTTAACATCTTTGCTAGTACTGTAGTTGTTTGTGTCGTCTTTGTTGAATTTTGTTTTTTTGATCAAGCAATTGGTGGAATATATACCTATAGTGCAAAAGTTAGAAGTGTGTATAACTGAACCCTTTTGGTCATGGGATTTGACCTTAAGATCAAATACACCAAGTACATAGATCCTGCAAAGATATTGACCTTCTGTAATTGCAAAAACCTTCAATATTTGAACTGTAATGGTTTGAGCTCTGCTCTAATAAGATCTTGTATAGTGTTGAATATTAATTTCTCAACACTTCAACCCTAGACCTTACAATGAGTTCAAAGACGTGTTCAAGTTAACACAAAATTCTGAAACTTATTCAAAACTGAAACACTAAATTGTCACCCTTCTAAAGGTGTCGTGACAATTTGAGAGAGCCAGAATTGTTCTAGTGTACATTTAACCATCGAAACTGATTCAGAAATTATTTCAACTATAATTAAACTTAAATTGTCAACCACATTCTGCATCCATGCAAATTTTCATCCTCTGTCCCCTCCAAACACCCCCTCTATTTTGTAGAACACTGTGAGGAATAAAATAGCAGGAATTTCTTGCTTTCTTTTACATAGTTATTGTACTGGAAAATCAGCTGTCCCCTTTGGTTGAAGGAGAATCAACTGAGCAATTCACAACAATCTGGCTACTCTTGAGAGATTTTCACAACTTTGAAATTGAATAGTCCAATGCATCAACTAAGAAGTCTGCACAAAATACAAGTTTAATTGCTTAAAACCAGACATTAAAATAAAAGGAACTTGCTTCCTTCTCTTTTCTAGGGCATATTGGTTTGTTTGGTGTTCATTATTAAAGCGGTTCAAGATTATTTTAATAAATTATGAAGATAATATCAGTTAATTAATAGTTTGCTACTAGTCTTGAAATTTGATTTTGGTGCATATTTGCAAATTTGGATCCTGTTAATAAAAATAAAAAGGCAGCCCGGTGCATTAATGCAAGCATTAATGGCTGCTTCCACGAATCGAACCTGTGACCTATAGGTCACAAGGAGCCAACTTTATCGTTGCTCCAAGGTTCCCCTTCATTCTGTTAATAAAAGTGATTTTCAAATATACTGATCAAATAAGATGGAATAATCCAAGAAAAATATGCGATATATTGAACCAGTGGGTAAAGAGGTTACCTGCATCATCCTTGCCAAAACACATAGGAGGCTTTATTCTGAAAACATTTCCATGTAAACCACCTTTCCCTACAAGAACACCAAGTTCTATATCCAGAAGCAAGTGCATTGTTAGTATATGTACAACGGTTTTCAATTCTCTTTAATTCATCAGCTGATTATACAAACCTCTAAGCTTCTCAAAGAGAACTCCAGTTTCTGCCTTGGCGGGTGTCTTTTCTTTTCTGTCAGTTACAAGTTCGATACCAACCATTAAACCCCTGCCTCGCACATCTCCAATTACTGGAGGTAACAAGGTATGTTAGTGATAATATTAACCAGAAGATGCATGTCACTAGGAGGAAAACTAAAGGATCATTAAAGCAGAAGACTCGGAAATAGAAAAATGATCAACTCTTTGATGCCAAGATATCAACATTTGGTGCTATATAAACTGAAGAAATTTGATTGGGATGAAAAGAAATCCATTTTGGCTCATACATGTCTGATTTTGAAAGAGCAAGAGACTTACTGTCATGTCTTTTCTGTAGATCCCTCAGCCGCCCAATCAAGTGTGAGCCAACCTCAGCACAATGCTTTTGGCGTTGTTCCTTATCGATTACTCTGAGTACTGCATGCCCACCAGCAGAGCAAACAGGGTTCCCCCCATATGTATTAAATTGTATCTTTTGAGCCATAACACTAGCAATTTCTGGCGTTGTGACAACAGCTCCAAGTGGCAAACCATTTCCGATACCCTGAAAAATTAAAAACTCCGGAATAACAGGCCATTCCACAAGATGCAAAACAGCAAAAGACACGATATGTAACCAATAAATATGGTGCACTCTTGTGAAGACCAAAAGTTCTTCACATAGGGAGGTTTAATCTAGTCTGTTCACCTCAGCTTGCATCCCACTCAGGACTAAAGAAAGCGGCATGATGACCTCGTTGGAAAATAAGATATAAGCACACCTTAGCGCCTTGCCCAGAGAGAATATTGGGGATCAAAGTCTTCCGAGGCGGCAGGGTCTATGGAGCAAATCTCCCACAACAGGAACAGGGCTGAGCGGAAAGATGAAAAGAAACAATTACAATACCTTTGCCATTGTAACTATATCAGGAATCACACCCTGTGTCTCAAAACCCCAGTAGTCGCTCCCTGTGCGACCAAAGCCAGTTTGTACTTCATCAGCAATACAAACACCTCCTGCTTTGCGAACAATGTCATAAACCAACTTCAAGTATCCAGGGGCTAGTTCAACAGCTCCTCCAACCCCCTAAAGCAAAAAAAACAGAATTTTATCACGCTTGAAATGTTCAGCCTCTGGTCTAAGACTCGAAGCAGCATTTTGCCACATTGAAGGGAGAATTAACAAGTCCAAACCTGAATTGTTTCAGCAATAAAACCAGCAACCTTTCCTGAAGTACCATGATCAATGTGATCCTGTACATCTTCAGCATATCGTTTAGCGTCAGATCCGAATACTCCACGATATGGGTTAGGATTCAGAACGTGATGGATTTCACCCTGTAAATCATCAAAGAAATTAAGGAAAAACATTTGGAATGTCAAACTTCAAATGCATGAACTTCTCTCATCGAAGTGTTCACTGGATAAACTAATAAAAAAAAGAAGAAAAAGATACACTTCTAATCTCTTCATGGCATGGCGCAGGGGTATACCTGTGGAATAGGGTACTTCCATGTGTTAAGAGCAGTTAGCCCAATTGTGTTGGCACTTCCGCCATGATATGCATTCCTCAAGGCAATCATATTTAGGTTACCACTGTACAATCGTGCCATCAGCATTGCCAATTCATTTGCTTCTGTCCCTGAATTTACGAAATATACTACCTGCAGTTCAAAACAAGCAAGTCAGACTGACGAATATTAGAAACTTCCTTGTAGGGATACTGCTGGGTTCATGTTTCAGAAGATAAACCTCGGAGACACAAACCAATCCAAATTTATCGGCATAGTGTAGTTGACATGTTAAGATACTACTCTAATACTACAACATTTAGTTAGTCTCAAGGGGCTTCAGATAATAATAATTCACATCAGACAATTGGTCTTCACTGCCTTGAATTATATGGAGGGATTAAAATCTAATAACTCAATGGATACTGGGTGCTTTGACACTTACCTCTCTTTCCTTTTCTGGACTAACTTTGTCTTTATCTTGTTATAAACATTTGTGGCTTAGTTCATAACAATAAACAAGAATTACATGTCTATATAGATATTGCATGTCTATGTTCTTTTCAAAAGATAATAAGTGAAAATAATTTGACAGCCAAGTTATTTTAGGCAAACAATTGAGTCCATACTCCAACTTCTGTCTTTAATCTGATGAACACGTGATAAAAATCGATTGTACCCATTACTATAGAGGAAGTTATTACAATCTGAATAGAACTTCTCCACGACCCTAAAACCTCAATAAAATTGTATAAGCTACAAGAAAAAAGAATTAGTGGTTTCAAATGGTGAACAAATACAAAATTCTAGAATCTTATATCCACATACTCCCAAAGTACAAACTTCCAAGCATAGTTTGACAAGGATAAAAGATCATGGGAAAAAAGCTTGAATTAGCTATCATATAGAAGGTAGTTAAAGATTCCATTCTGAATCATAAAGGAACACACCAAAAAGGAAGTATAGATAAAGGGAAAGATGTCAACAAAGGCCAATTTAAGATAAAGGAAATCATGTCATGCTAACCTAAACTATTGGAAGGGTACAAATATCAATCTTTCTGTCATGGTTGAATGAAGAGCTTTGTAAAAATTGGGAAAGGAATTATATCAGGGGCACTTTCCATAAGTAGAGTATCAGAGCCCAAAATGGAACTTCCAAGTAGAGAAATTCAGTTTATACTATTTATGCACATATAGTTGAAGAAAATGCACACCAAATAGACCATTAGGGTAGTGGTATTATTTTAACCTTTAGGTTTCCTGGCATCTTAGATGCCAATGCTTCCGCAAAATCGCCGATCGCATGATGTAGATATATGGTTGTAGCATGTTGGAGAAGCTTGCTTTGCTCCGTGATGGCATCCAACACCATAGGATGACAATGACCGCATGAGACAGTAACTATTCCAGCAAAAGCATCAAGATAACGTCTTCCGTTCTCATCATACAAATATTGCATCTTCCCCTCAACAATATTTAGCTGTTTGAAGAAGTAAAAGAGTTATTAGAAAGAGACACAGCTTTAAGGAAAGCAATTATAGAGCTTTCACATACCAACATGGGCATTTACTTCATGCCTGTTTTCCTTCTTGTTATTTTGGTTAGCCGTTCCATACGAGTAGGAAAATACAATATAAAAACAGGAATAGATTCTCAAATATTATAAATTCAGAAGAAACCAGAATCGGCCTAACAATAGAACATCAAATATCCATCATAGAACTTGCAGAGAGTTGAAGAAGAAAACAAGGGCTGTCCTTTCAAGGCGCCTCCTTGAGGGAACAAGGGCCGGTCGAGAAGCTGGCAATCAAAATGCAAAGGAAAGAAAAAACTTGTCATCTCTACTTGCAGGACAGGACACTCTACAACAACAACTACGCTTCAGTTGAGACCGGCTTTATGAATCCTCACTGACACTCTAAAATTCAAATTGGAAAATAAATCTTATATTACTCATTCACTGAAGAATCAGACATTGACTCATTCAATAATAAATATCAAAATGGTGTACAACACTCGAACAAATACACATTCCAAATATTCAGAATCAAATCTTGATCATCAGACTAGCACAGAGAAACACAATCCCTCTCCTCTTCTTTCTTTCTTTTTCCTAAAGTAAATCATACAATCCAATTTGTAAATTCATATGCTTTAAAATCCACTAAGTATCTCAAAACCAAGAAAATATAAAACTAATGTGTAATTAGTTAAAAAAAGAAGAGATATTTACAGGTTTTTGGTAGTAGTAGAAGAGGGAAGGACCCAGAAACTTCTTTCTTTTCTCCAAAACCTCATCAGCCAAAGGCCCTTTATACGGCTTTGGCTGGTAGTCAAACGGCGGCAGTTCCGGCGGCGCCACCACCGCTTGACCGGGAAAGTACCCCAGGCACCTATATTTGGCAATTCCAGCACACCCTTTTAGTAATTTCCTCTGTAACGCCATTCTTGATTGATCACAATATAACAGAAAAAATACTACTCCTAGCTAAAACATCACAAAGATATATAGGGACAGACCCGCATGAATCGATTAGTGCTGACATGGAAAAATGTTGGATTGTAGTAGTAGGTGAAGGAATAGTAGTATTAAAGATTATCTGAGGTTTAACTCAACGGACCCCACAAAAGATTCCCATATTTTTTTTTAATGGATTAGAAAATTGTTTGGTTTCCATTTTTGTTTTATTTTAAGGTAGTGGAATCCAAGCCAGTTTGTGAATCTCAATTACTCCCTCCGTTCCACGGTAAATAATCAATTTGCCTTTTTATTTTGATCCAAAATAAGTGTCCATTTATATAACCAAGAAAAAATTTAATTTAGTTTTCCAAATTTATACTTACGTACGTATCCTTAAAAAGTCTTTTACTCCTCACATTAACTATGTTGTACCATTTAATTAACTAGTTTAGTCACACTAACTATATTTATCTAGAATTTAGTATTTCCTTAATAGGTGTGCCCAGGACAAATTGATCACTTATTGTGGACCAGAGGGAGTATTAGATAACTTTGTTCGTCAAAAATTAAATAAATGTGAAGAAATCAACTGATATTTTAATTTTCATTTGAAATAGCTTAGTTAATTATTTAAGTTTTGAAGAATATCGGAAAGACTTATTAATACGCGTTTAGTTAATTTAAGTTTAAGAGGAGCAATGATCACGAACTTAGGTAAATAAAATCTGCTTTTCAATTTTCATTTCGCGATGAGAATTACTGCTATGAAGATACAAAACGTTATGCTGCAATATTTGAATTTATTTTAATTATACCAATACAAAAGGAAGTGAATAAACATTAAAGTTTCAGTTTGTTGGAACTTCGTTTAATAATATACAAAAACATTACTATTAAATTAATCAATCATGTAGGTTTTCCATGTGATGTCAGATGTGGGTACTATTCTCTAAGCGCTTTAGGTGAACGTTATCGAGAGAAAATTAGAAATTAGCTTAATAATTTTTTTCTGAAAAATTCTAAGGAAAATCCTTGTAAATCACACAAGAGATATAAACTGACTGAGGAGACTCTGGTGAGGAAAATCCGAAGTCTCTCACGTGGGAATCATTCACTGAACCAATTCAGCTAACCCACAATTAGGTTGATAATTACGTATTTATTTGTTATGGTAAAAGTGTCACGTTCATTTATTTTAATTGAGGGTCCTTGTCAAGCAGATTCTGCATACGTGTTTATCATAATCCACATGGGGGCACGATTTGATGCATCATAGGATATGGAATTATGATTGTTGATTCACTTCCAGATTAATTGCTCAATTAAATAGAAAAGTTAACTATCACTACTAGTAATATATTACTTGCTGGTTTGACCATCAAATTTTAGTTTAAATACAACACTACTGCTCCTATCTTGATCCAGAAATAATTTTCGTTAAAGATAAATCACTGTTGAAAAACATCGTTGCACACGGAGAGACGAGCTAGGAGTTGAAATTTACGGGTTCTAAACTTGTCATGAAATTTATAATACGTCTTAGTTCTTACTAGATTCATAATTAAATATTTATACATATCTAATGAATTTTCTAATGCAAATATTGAGTCTAAGCAAAAACTTCTGGGAACGACTGATCCCATAATTAGTATTCTAGCTCTGCCCCTAACACAAGCTACATTTGTTATTTCCTTTAGGTCAACCATGAAATGATATTTTAGCTAGAGTAACTACTAGATATAACTTGTTATAACATATTACTTACCATTTATTTTAGATTACCAATCAATATTATTAGATAGAAGTACCTGTAAATACTTACTCAATATTTAAAAAAGGATTGGATTTTATAAGTATTTTTTATATCGTTAATACGCGAATTTCAAACAGAAATTCCTTAGAAATTGGACTTCCATCGAAATGTCAGTCGGAAATTCATGTTTTTCAGTAGTGGCATAAAGTTAAGCTCATTGTAAATTATATTAACAAATATTAGTCTTTCGGCATGCTACTGTAAAAGAATTAATAGTATTGTCAAATAAAATCCAAGAGGATTGCATAACGTTCGAAAGTTGAACTATTTGGATAAGCATAGCATGTTTATTAGGCAGTAAGAAAAAGAAATAAGGCCACCTTCATCATACAAAGCTTATCCAAAATTTTAAAATATGGGTCCTCCACTGACGCTTGTCATATTATCGGTTGATTTGAGTTTTTTTTAGTGTTTTAAGATAAGCTATACTCTTGATTAATCTAAACTTGTATTTTATTTTATTAGTATTATTAGTTATGAGCTATACAATTATTGAATACTATTATCTTAAGCGGTTAAACCTACTCAATTCTTACTATTAAAATCCAAATAAAAGAAAAAAGTAGAATGAAAACGACAAATTAATACCGTAAAAAGTTGAAACTTGTGCAATATATATATATAATTCTTTAAATATAAATTGCTTACCCGAAAAAAACTATTTCGTAATAAAAATTGGAGACGAAAATTCAATAATGAAGTTGGAATAGAATATGACTAAGCAATAGTTTGAATAGAATAAGAATACAACTAAGCAAATCTCACATCGTGTAACTTAGATTTTATAACACATAAATTATTTTTTGGGAGATAAGTTTATAGTAGTTCAAGATAGAGATAAAATTCAATCTGAAATAATCAATAGCTAAAATCTGGATCCTTAGTAGGCGTTTGGCCATAAGTTTTGGAAGTTTTTTTTCACAAAAAAATTCAAATATATATTTGTTTATTGAATTGATTTAGTTTTTGGGAGATTTTGAAAATCAAAACTTCATGGCTTAAGACCTCTTTTTAGGGCCAAATCATCTTGCCCCAAAATTCATGTCCAAACACATTTTTAATTTCGCGCCAAACTTTACCAAAATTAACTTTTTCCAAAATATTTTGGGAATCTATGTCCGATGGATCCTTAATTTGTTGTTCACCGTGACATTTTAAAGAAATAATTGGGTTGGAGAGAAGTCAAGGAGAGAAAGGGAATCGGAAAAATGAAAGGAAAAAAAGGCAAAAGAGGGAAATAGAAAAAACAGAATAGAAAATGTAAAAAATAAGAAGAGAAAAAGAGCTAAAAATGAAATATAGCATAAGTAGCCATGTAGTCTCGAACCGACACACCGGCTGCTAAACTTTGCAATTTATAAATCGGAAAAGGGCCTAAATTTCTTCTAAACTATTGGAAATAGAGCAATTATACCATCCGTTTGCTATTGGGCACAAAAATAACCCCACCGTTAGTCAAGTGGAGCATAATATACCCCTCTCCACTAACAGACTCCACGTCAACTATAAAATCACTTAAAAAGATTTTTTTTTTTTGCTGAGTTGGAGCTCCACATCAGATTTGACTGTTTTTTTTTTCATCAAAGAAAATTAATGAAATCTAACTTACCCATGTCATTTCCCATTTTCAACAATCAACGGATAAAAATGCCTTAATCAACAAATCCTATCAAAGAATCAATTATGCTCCTCAATAAGTTCGAAATAACACCCTTTAAGGCCAATGACCTTCGCCAAGAAGAAGATTTCGACCTTGATAGAACGACGACGAGTTACTATTTCGATAAAGTTTAAAATAACACCCTTTAAGGCCAAGGGCCTTCGCCAAAAAGAAGAATTCGACCTTGATCAAATAACGATGGGTTGCTATTTCGATATGTTCAAAATAACACCCTTTAAGGCCAATGGCCTTCACCAAAAAGAAGAGTTCGATCTCGATCGAACGATGATGGGTTACTATTTCAATAAGTTCAAAATAGCACCCTTTAAGGCCAATGGCCTTCGCCAAAAAGAAAAGTTCGACCTCGATCGAACGATGACGGGTTACTATTTTGGTAAGTTCGAAATAACACCCTTTAAGGCCAATGGCCTTCGCCAAAAAGAAAAGTTCGACCTCGATCGAACGATGACGGGTTACTATTTTGGTAAGTTCGAAATAACACCCTTTAAGGCCAAGCGCCTTCGACAAAAACAAGAGTTCGACCGCGATCGAACGACGATGGGTTGCTATTTCGATAAGTTCAAAATAAGACCTTTAAGGCCAAGGGCCTTCGCCAAAAAGAAGAGTTCGACCTTGATCGAACGACGATGGATTGCTATTTCGACAAGTTAGAAATAACACCCTTAAAGGCCAAGGGCCTTCGCCAAAAAGAAGAGTTCGACCTCGATCGAACGACGAGGGGTTGCTATTTTGATAAGTTCGAAATAACACCCTTTAAGGCCAAACGCCTTCGACAAAAAGAAGAGTTCGTCCTCGATCGAACGACGATGAGTTACTATTTTGATAAGTTCAAAATAACACTCTTTAAGGCCAAGGGCCTTCGCAAAAAAGAAGAGTTCGACCTCGATCGAACGACGATGGGTTGCTATTTTGATAAGTTCGAAATAACACCCTTTAAGGCCAAACGCCTTCGACAAAAAGAAGAGTTCGTCCTCGATCGAACGACGATGAGTTACTATTTTGATAAGTTCAAAATAACACTCTTTAAGGCCAAGGGCCTTCGCAAAAAAGAAGAGTTCGACCTCGATCGAACGACGATGGGTTGCTATTTTGATAAGTTCAAAATAACACTCTTTAAGGCGAAGGGCCTTCATCAAAAAGAAGAGCTTGACTTCGATCGAACGACGATGGGTTGCTATTTCGATAAGTTCGAAATAACACCCTTTAAGGCCAAGGGACTTCGACAAGAAAAAGAGTTCGACCTCGGTCGAACGACGACGGGTTACTATTTCGATAAGTTTGAAATAACACCCTTTAAGGCCAAGGGCCTTCGTAAAAAGAAGAGTTTTACCTCGATCGAACGACGATGGGTTTCTATTTCGATAAGTTCAAAATAACACCCTTTAAGGCCAAGGGCCTTCCCCAAAAAGAAGATTTCGACCTCGATTGAATGACGATGGGTTGCTATTTCGATAAGTTCAAAATAACACTTTTAAGGCCAAGGGCCTTCGCCAAAAAGAAGAGTTCGACCTCGATCGAATGACGACGGGTTACTATTTCGATAAAGTTAGAAATAAAAACCTTTAAGGCCAAGGGCCTTCGCCAAAAAGAAGAATTAGACCTC